GGTTTATTTATTCTTTATTATTCATCTTTGTATTCTGTGCTTGTTAAATACTTAAATTGTTTTGATATCCCTTCATTTTGTGCGCGGACTTGATCAATCCGTGTTCCAAAATTAGGGGGTATCAGATATATGATCCATTGTTTTTCATCTTCTTGTTGACAACTGGGACCCGCCCTTGATTTCTTCTTAGTAGCTCCTACTCACATTATTATGGTTGCATAATACTTACTGAATTCTTGAAGAAGCAGTGGACGAAATCTCTTTCCAATTGATGGTATCGGTAGTTGCAGACAAGCAATCCAATCAAAGAGAGTACCCCATCTCTCCCGGTCGACATCAATAGTAACAGTTTTTCCATTTGATGTTTTCCTTTTCAGACACAACGTGGTGATGGGTCTCTAATCAGATAAGTTTTCCAACTTAATTTTTACAATTAAATCTTTATTAAAAATTATATATATATATATATATATATATCAATATTATATATGTATATATATTTTCACACATGATGCAATCATGATACATAAATCTTTATGATTCTGTTAGATTTTTTGGTCTGCACTATCATCCAAAAAAAAAAAAATCATAGATTTAACGTTGGTATCCAAAAAATCATAGATGGGATTTTTATTAATTTCTTAATTAATCCATCACAAAAAAAAAAAAAAAAAAAAGTGAGTACTGTTCACATGAATAGTACCCGCAGGAATACTATCCGCGGGTACTGTTCACGAAAAAAAAATGTGTCCAGGACAATGTTGAATGGTCATAATCATTTTATATCTAAATTTTCTTAAATGCAAATTCTTTGTTTGGTATCATATGAGTGGGTACAAACCACATTATAATTCTCTAACTCATGCTTTGTTTGAGTGAGTAGTCATAAAATAAATATAAAAAAAGAGCATGATTACACTCTCTTATTTTAGAGAACAATCGCTAGCTCCATGGATGATTTTGGTCCTATGATGCTCAATGATAAGTTTTTGCCTTTGCCTTAGTTGTATCAATTTTGATATATATATATATATATATTATCCATTCAAACTGTTCCTCTATTTTTGCTTTGCTAACTTTGCAAATAGAAAGAGAACATTAGTGTTCCTTGCACGTGAGAGACAAGCTTGAGAATGGGGGCAGAAAATTAGCCTCTCTTATTAAAGATACGAGCTCACGAAGCTCTGGAAAATCAGCCTTCCTTATCAAATAGATGAGCTCATGCAACTACAGAAAATTAGTCTCTCTTATTAAAAAGATGAGGTGACAAACATCACGAGGATGAACCTTCCATATTAAAAGGATAAGTTCATGAAGCTTGGAGAACCTACTCCCTTTTTAAAGGGCGAGTTCAACGTATTATAAGGGATTGATATAAAAGTGCCCCGTACTATAAGGGCCCGAGCTGAATGAAGCTCGTAATTGTTGTCCTCCGTATTAAAAGGGGTCAAAATCAACTCGTAAGATATACTTCCCTTTTTAAAGGGCGAGCTGAGTGAAGCTCATAAAATATACTTCCTTTTTTAAAGGGCGAGTTGAGTGAAGCTCGTAAAATATATTTTCTTTTTTAAGGGGCGAACTGAGTAAAACTCGTAAATATACTTCCATTTTTAAAAGGTAAGCTCATTTAGCTTAAGAAAGCCTACTCCCTCAACTCATGAAGTTCGGGCAAATCTGCTTACTTATTAAAGGAGTAAGAGAGGTCAACCAAAAAGAGGTCACCCAACAAGGGTTAACCTAAAAAGAGAATGATTTCTACCAAAGAGATGTCGGTCAAAAAACACTTTCACATTCTCGATGCTTGACAAACAAGCACGAGAATGGGGGGGGACAACTGATGAGGATAAAAATAATTGGCAACTCAAAGTCAAAATAAGATAAGGGTAAGGGATTTATCATCTCCAAAATCTCTATGGAATTATAAAAAATATTTGGTTACCATATGTAACGACAGTTACCATTCCTGTAAGAAGGAAACGATATCATCTTGGATCAGGGAGAATCTCGCTTCAACAATTACTACCATCAATGCTTCTATAAAAGAAATGATCAGTCAACCTAAAAAGGTACGCCATAAATTTTATATGTAATCCTTATCGGATATAATATCGTCAAGTATTAACTTGACTGTCGGAGTGCACCCGGCCGGCACCACGCCGGTCATCACTTCTCTTGTTTTGCAGGAATCGCCACCGACTCCGGAGCGTGTAGATTTTTGGCATCAACAATTATTATTTATTATTTTTAATTATTTTTTAAAAATTATATTTAAAAAATGTATAGGGTCAACTCGTTAAGACCCATATTGATGTTTTTTTAAAAAAAATTTGGCCTATGAAACCCAACCGACTCGCCCAAAATATTAATGTTTAAAAAATAAAAATTCCTTAAAAATTTTGATGTTTACAAACATGGAAAAGGAAAATGTAATTTGTAAAAAAAAAAAAAAAAAAAAAAAAAAAAAAAAAAAAAAAAAAAAAAAAAAAATTGACCAATGAAACCAGCACGACCCGCCCAAAATATCGATGTTTTAAAAATAAAATGTTTTTAAAATTTTTGATGTTTACAAACATGGAAAAGGAAAATGTAATTTGCATATTTGAAAAAAAAAAAAAAAAAAAAAAATGACCCATGAAACCGACCGACCCGCCCAAAAAATTGAAGTTTAAAAAATAAAATTTTCTTAATGTTTACAAACATGGCAAAAAGAAAATGTATTATGTATTAAAAAAAATAAGAATAAAATATAACTTGTGAAACTCGCACAACCTACTCAAAATTTTGATGTTTTAAAAATAAAATTTTCTTAAAATTTTTTATATTTACAAACATGGAAAAGGAAAATGTAATTTGCATATTAAAAAAAAAAAAAAAAAAAAAAGACCCGTGAAACCCAACCAACCCGTCCAAAATATTGATGTTTTAAAAATAAAATTTTCTTCAAATTTTTGATGTTTACAAACTTGACAAAGGAAATGGACATAACCCATTTTGGGTAGAATTCAGACTTGCCTAACCTAACCCGATTTCGAGTTGAGGTTGGGTTGGGATTGGGTTGGGTTGGGCCAACCAAACTTGCAGCCCTTTGTGAGAGAGAGAATTAAAAAGAGAGAGAAATGAGTTGAGTGCAATATAGAATAGATGTATGTTATATATTTATTATGTGAAAGTGAAATATGAGTTGAATATAAGTAATCATATTCAATCTATCTTGATTCTCAAATTAAATGGTTAAAAATTACCCACTCATTTTTTACTCATCTTAAAAATGATTCACTCATAATTATTAAAAAATGAACAAATATAAATAAATTGATGGGTTGTGATCTATTTTGCCACCCTTAATTGATACGAAAGAAAAACAAAACGACTGTGAAACATGCAGAAGCAACTTTAGTTTTCAGGTTGAAAGGCAAACTTGGGGCCCATTCAGTAGCTTTTTTCATCGGATTCGAAGCCCGCTAAGGCCGCCGGATTGGACCACCCATGATGTTGTTGATGTCAGTTACCCTTGTAAGGACTAAGGAGGGAGCTAGTTTAATTTGTTGAGTTATGTTTTGATTGGGCCCCTATTTTCAGTTAGGTTCTGGGCCGTAACTACTCTGGCCCTTGTTATGCCCATTTGGGCTATCACATGTCCAAAAACTAAATGGGCCAATATGCCCAATCTTGTAATTATCGTACCTTCTCATCTATACAATTGTTTTAAATAATAATAATAATAATAATAACGCAGGAGAAGTAAATCGCTGTGGTTTGCTCGTCAATTTTTTTAAAACTAGAAACAGATCTTTCTTATTTTTACTTATGGATGATATGAGGAACGTTCTCAAGCTGTAGTAACTTGATGAATTTTTTTTTTTTTGTTTTTTTGTTTTTTTTGTGTATAAAGAGAGTAACAATGTCTCTCGCACGTGGCAATTTGTTTGATTTATTTTTTATTTTTTATTTTTTATCTTAAAAGTAGAAATTGTTTAGATCATCGTTTGTTCCTTATTTTTAGTTTCAAACCCAGTAACTCTCAGGTTGCAATAATAAAAAAAAAACATTGCTGTTAAATAGCTGCTGTATACCAACATCTAACTCCACATAATTTAGTAATTTTTGCATTTGTTATATTGTTCTAGTGCAATGGTATTTAATATTCATTTTGAACTTTCTGTATCCGTAACTGTGTCTGATCATCATAGTAAAATTCCTATAACCCTAACTTGTTCCTTTATTCAAATTTTAAATATAGTAAATTAATTGTAATTTAATTAATTCACAAAGCAAAAATAAATGTAAATAATTAAAGTAAAATTAAACTGATACCACTCACCCAATAATCGAAAAAATCTCAAGGACTGTCATGCCGTCTCGAGTGAAACGATCCACTATAAACGAAGCAATGTATAATGAATTTCTACTCAGGCTCACACCCCTTCACTCTACCCTATCAAGAACCACTTGACTTCAGGTTTACCCTCTTGATTCTCGCAGAAGGATTGGTGGTAGATAAACAAGGCTCCATGCACGAAATCACGAATGATTTGACCCTTCAAAATGTGACCGCTCCCTCATTTCCATCAAATCATAGTTTTTGAAGTAGAAACACAAATCTGCTTGACGACTGGTAGCAATAGAATCTTCAATTACGCAAACATCGATCGAACAATGAACAACAACCTAATTCACTCAAGTGTATAGGTGTGTGCTTTCAAAAACAAAAAAAAAATTGTAAACTTTGAGCCTTGCTTGGTTTGTAACTCTAAACAGTTTTCTTCTCATAAAACTAAAAATAGAAAACTATACAAAAAACTTTTATTGATTCAGTTTTCTGGAAACTGTGTATGAAAACTTAATTATAAAAAGATCTGTTTTCAGATAATTGTTTTTTATTGTTCTCTGAAAACTGTTTTCTGTTCTCTGAATTCTTGAGAACTGTTTTCAGAGTTACAAATCAAACAAGCCCTTGAAATCTTACACAAAAGGCTTTTGATATCTTCAATATAAAAGCAGTAATGAATTGTGTGTGAATATGAGTTTATATAGAGAATTAGAGAGGCCTAGTAGGATTAGAAAATCTTCTCAATTTCATGCTCAAACATCCCTCTAATTCAGACTTGTAAAAATAATAGAGGTTGAGAAAAACAAAAACAAAAACAAAAACTTTCCCTCTTGGTTCAGGAAAGTGCAACCGATTCTACTTGAAATTGCAACCAGTTGAACTTATCCCAAATAGTGTTTTTCACCAAAGAATGCAATCGGTTCTAAAATGAAGTGCATCCGGTTCAACTTCTAAAAAAACCCCAAGTACTATATTCCAACTTCAAACCAACTTTTAAGTGATCCTCACACACTTACCTTGACTAATTGTTATTCAATGTCGAACCGCCGCTTCCGTGAGTAGCTTTAGTTGAGTTTTTAGATTCCGAAACCAGACTCAATTTTAAATGAAAAATACACAACTCTATTTGGATTTTGTTTTGTTCACCGGAACATACCAATTGCATTTTTATATTTCACACTTTCTAATGAATCCATGACACACACACACACGCACACACATATACTCACTTGTGCACTAATAGCAAGGTATAGTGCTGCAGTTTCTCTAACCCTGTACTGATTTCACACCAAACTGATTTCATGGTGAAAGGCTAACAAAACCATATCTATCCTTTCTAATGGATTCTAAGACAAGTACTTAAAAGATCTCTCTTTTTACATGGTCAGATTATATATATGGTAACGTTATGGAAGTTTTTGTTGGACGTTCTCAATCACTGGGTTTTGTTTGTTGACTTGATGAACATAAGGACAAAGAAAGAGAGAGCATACTGTTATTTTGGGGCACACTCTTACTAGCAGACGTCTTCTCCATAATATTGTTCCCAACACTTTGGCTCAATCTCAGCTGCAAATCAGGTAACCATTCCTTGTGCTTCAACCTTCTTCCTTCATTAAACTGCATATATACCAAAAATTAACAAACTAATAAGTAAAATGCGCGCATTTCGCTAGATATATAGGACAATTTAATTTGCTTATAAATCAGCTGAATTATATATGTGAAATAATGTCTCCATATACATATGAAGTAAATTACCTCAAGCCGAAAGGGGGGCTCAAACTCTGGCTCCAAGCTATCGGTCGTGTTCATACAGTCATGCATCCTGGATTGGCAGTGCCTAATTCTTGTACTATTTCTGCAGTCCCATGCAGGAGGCTGCGTAAGATAGGTTGCCCCGATAGATGTCCTTGGTGTGGTACGGACTTGATAAATATGATGAGGGTGAGAACTAATTATTGTTTGAAGCAAATTGTTGCCTTGTCCAACATCTTTGCTTGTTAAAGAAGTACTTGGTCTGATCATAGCATGCTGATTGGAAAACCACTGTTGGCTTCTGCAAATATATATATATATATATATATATATATATATATATATATATATATATATAAAGAGAGAATTTTAGGAGTATGAACAAGTTTCCTAGGGCTTTATATCATTAGATATAAATAGTTACCTTGAAGAGAGAGTTTTGACATCAAATGAAGGTTGCTTGAAGTGCGAATACTGTGGATGACTATGAATTGGATCACCCTCTTGAGAATTTCTTGCTTGAATAATTCCACCAATATTCTCCACTCCCAATTGTTTATGGTGATTAATTCTATGGTAAATATTTGTTCGACATAATACTGTCAAAAGAAACAAAATTTGTGAATAAAACTGTATTTTCATCTATTTTTGTGCTTTTTAAGTAAGAGAGATGTTATTGGGATACTTATCATATATTGTCTGAGATGAAGTTAATTAGTCAAGATACCTCTCCTAATCAATAAAATATGTCAAGTAATTAGAAATGATATGAAGTACCATATACTCTAATTAATATTTAACCCCTCCAAAATAGCTGAAATATCATATTTGAAAAATAATGCATTAAATTTGATGTGAAATTATTTCTTTTTTCTTTTATAAGACTTGAGATTTTTTTTGGTGTGCCAAAAACCCATCAATGGTGTGCTATATCAAGAAAGAAAAAAAAAAAAAAAAAAAAAAAAAAAAAGAAAAGAAAAAAAAGAACAAACACAAATTTACCTTTGCCAGACTGATCGAGCCTCTTACTTCGATACATCTGATATAAAATATGCATGATCAGTGAAATTAACTAAAGATAGGAAAATATATATTAGGAGATAGAATTATAATTCATTTTGATGCAGTACCTGCAAGTGACTCTTTACATGGGCAATGCTAAGTCCTCTCACATTCATTAATTGAAGAACTAATTTGGGAGTTGCTTCTGCCCATAACCAGATAGAGTTCAAGTAATTAATAACCAATGATAAAGTTGAAAGGAAAAATATTTTGATGAAGAAGCAGATTCAATTAATAACAGTTTTTATATATCTTCTAAAAACTGTTAAATAGGATCGATATTGTGTGTCATGTGCTTAGATACACTGGGGTTTCTAACTAAACTTACTTTCTTGTCCACCAAGCCTTTCAACAGCTTGTACAAAAGAGAGATGGAGATCAGGAGTCCATCTGAGCCGAGGCATTTTTGATCGAACATATTGCCTAATTGTAGTCTTCCTTTCACTTCCTTCCTCTAAAGCACTATTACCGGTACTTGAATTCCCTTCTGCTGTTTTCTCATCATCCTCAACATTACTCATAAGTTCAGCAGTCTCAGTATTGGCACTATATATATCAACCTCTTCGCTGTTGGCTTCTTCGTTCAAGTCCAAAGATGAACACTTCGGCAAAGAAACTGATGATGTGTATTCAACTTGTTCCTCAATTGAGTTGCTCATTTTATCATCAGGAACGATCTCCAATACTTGAGTCGAATCAGTCATGGCTACTCTTGTTCTTTTAATTTGACTTCCAAATGTTGTTTTTCTTCTAAAGTTGCATGTTCTTGAGCTGAGAGAAATTTAGGCAATGTGATCCAGTAGATGTGAAATTTGTAACATATAACATGAATTAGTTAATTCGCTGACACCAAATATGATATAGTAATAACTGAACTATAAATATGACAAAATGGCAAGAAAAACCAAGTCAGTCTTCTGCGGAATTAACTAGAATTTTATCACTTTCATAACATCAGTACAAGGGAAGAATATGTTTTCCAATATATATGCTCATATAGAACTAAATTTCATTCCATCAACTATACCAACATTCCGGCCAATTTGTTTTTTGTTCCATCAATTCTTGGTCATACATTAATTGGAGAGGTCTAAACTGGATAAAGGTATATTGACACGTAAGATATAGTTTCTCAAACAACTATTCTCATTTGTGGATATAATAAAATGACTATAAGCCCTTGGATTTAAAAGAAAAAGATGAGGTGATGAATTTCAACTCTGAAATCAGACTTTTTTTTTTTTTTTTTTTTACTAAAAGCTCATTTGGGAGTTCAATTTAATGGTTGTATGAATATATCTTTTGTTTTAAAATATATATATATATATATATATATATATATATATATATATATATATATATAGTCCCAAGAAGAATAAATGGTGAAGCCTTCACTATACATGACAATGATCAAAGTGTTGTCATAATCCCATTCTCACACACATCTCTAGAAGCAAATTATATAAAATAGAGAAAAAAAGAGTAAAAAATGTGATCATAATCTAGTTTAACATCAAGCACAACATTTAAAATTGCAACAGACTATTTTAATTAGATTCCATGTAATGTGTGTGTTAATTACCATTATCTAAAAGTTCAAACTGTGCAAGAGGGAGTTGTAATATGCAGAACTCAAGATGTTGCTTTCTGTATTACCAATCTACTTTAAAAACGTAACTGCGATATAACTAATTTATATTCTACCATTCAAAAAAAAAAAAATTCTGTTCTCTGACAATTTATTAATTTATGTACATGAGTTCATTGCAGTCACTGCTAGCTAACAAGTACTGGATATTTTAAGTCATTTGGCTGAATAGAGAATTTGATCTACTTACTGCCACACTTTATAGGTGATGCTAATAGGACATTTAATAGTAATTCTGTTCATGTGCTGTATCATCTACCTAACTAGATAGTAGTAGTTACTGATTAAACTATACATGAAATGCAGTAATTCAAAGAATTCAAAAGAAGAGGAACAAAAAAAAAAAAAACCATTGATCTGTTCCTCGATTATGAAACTTCAAAACCTAGAAATTATAAGAAGCAATATTGTCACATTAGCTATAATAAGTGAATCAGCAAATGGTTTTTATTTTAGGTCATAAAAAACCATATGACAAAGTCCTTGAAATATTATATTAATAGTTGATCAAAAAATATATAGCCAGGTTAACAAAAATGAAAGATAGAGGACCTAAAATTCTGGTTGAAAACATAATATATATATATATAGAGAGAGAGAGAGAGATTAACTTAATTAGCATCAGCTACCAGAAAAAAGATCAATAAAAAAAGTTTAATATTTTTCTAGTTCCATTCTAAAATACAAACCATTGATGCTAGATGTACACCTCAGCCCTTCACCTTATGAGATTGAGCAGCAGATCAGTTGCTGCATATTATCAGATTGATCCCATCCATATAAGATATAGGCAAGAACGATGATGATCATCAACAATTGCATATTATCCAATCGATCCTTGCATATATATACCCACAAAAGTATAAATTCTTAGACTAAATCAGGTGAGAAAGAATTATCCATGAACAAATGATCAAAGTGGAGAAAGAGAGAGAGAGTGGGTAAAAGATGGTATTGTTTTTCTCTGGGCGTTGGGAGGTTTTGGTTTCATTCAACTGTGGAAATTAAAGTCTCATGCCATTTTGTGATCACAGTTTCATATATTCCTAACTTTCTTGAGGACTTTTTAAAAAAAAAAAATCAACAGACACTCCACTTGTGTTCTTTATTATGCAATAATACTTACATTATGGATACAGATGTCATTGGTCCCCTTGGCTGTTGAGCATCATGTGATTTCCCTAACCCTTTTTTCCTCCTTTCAATCCTTTCTTTGACAGCTGTCCACCTAAATCTCTCTCTCTCTCTCTCTCTCTCTCTCTCTCTCCCTCCTTTGATTAAATTGTTTGACCTCTGTTAGAGACTCCTCTCATTGTTAATACCATGGACAAATTCTATTTTTCTCATTATTTTAAATATCTACACATATGCTTGTAAGAGAAGAGGGACCATTTGGTTCGTTTTGAAGAATCTACATGTCAATTTCTTTCCACCTAAACTAAGACTTTCTTCCCATTGTATGTCCCCATATATATATATATATAATTCATATTTTGCTTCTGCTCATGATGATGCAATGTTTTCATATGCTTTGATTCAAAGCTCTGATTGATTTTTTATGTCACCATAAAAAAAACCCAATGTTTGTCGGTAATATGTGGGGCTGCTAGCTAGAGAATTAGTCAATTTTTTATGGGACTTGTTGCATTCAAAGTTCAAACAGGCAGCATGGATCCATTTTCCATACATTAATTTCTTATTGCAAATGAGGGAATATTTATGTCATAAATGCACATTTGACAAATCAAAATATTTTTGATGTGGTTATGAATGATGCAACCGAAAACCTTGACTACTAAGTTGTAGGTTTTTGGCTCAAACCTAAACCACGTACCCCCCACACCCACACACACACACACACACACACACAAAAGAGAAAAACATTAAGCTTAACTATATATTGCATATTTAATTCAAAATCTGAGCACTGGCACTGGATTTTGGGTATCTACTTTCCTTTGCATTGTGGGAGACTGGCAGCAGCTCTTCAGGGTGGGGTGCATGGGAGCTTAATCCATGTCTGTTCTAAGGATTATAATTTTAGAGGTTAAAAAGATACAATCAAAGTGGAATTTTGGGAATTTCGAGTGTGGACCTTAGCGCAATGATGATGTTATTTTATTGTGATCTATAGGTCACGAATTCGAATCAAGGAAATAGTCTCTCTGTGCATGTGAAGGTAAGGTTGTTTACATACTATTGCAACAACCACCTAAAAAGTTGTATATATATGTATAATGGAGTAATATAAAAAATCTGAGTGATGGTATTTTTAAATTTTTAATAAATTTACAAGTAATTCTGTAAATAAAAATTTTCAATAATAACAATTATAAGAGTACTCTACTTATGTTTACAAAACAAACAAACTAAATAATGTCACAAAAAATCCCATGTGGTTGGCCTAACGAATGAGAATTCGGATCTTGGTGCCTCATGAAATTAAGCATCAGGTCTTAGGTTTGGGCCTTGGTATTTACACAGGTTAAGTTGTAGTAAAGTTGAGTCATAAATTTATTCGGTGCACGTAACTTGTGAGGTATTACGTGTGTCTTGAGGTGAATTAATCTCACCTGTAAAGTATAGGATACCTTCTCTCTAAAAAAAACAAAAAGAAAAATTGTGAGGCTAATGAAGGGTCAGCAATCAGCAAGCTGAGTTTACCAAATATATTGACTTTTCTCCCTGCTAAGTGGTATTCTTAAATTGCACCTATTTTTAGTAATTACTACTAGAAATAATTTGGACTGTGTTGGTTTCAAATGAGAGAGAAGGTCTACTCCTCATTATTTTTATTATTATTTTCTGAAAGGTGTCTTCTCCTCATTTTCATTGGAATCATTTCAACCATTAGGTATTGGCTAAAAGACACACACAACCATTAGGTATGAAGTGACATACAGGTATAATATTACTTTTCTCAACATAAAATTATAATTTACGTAGTACATTATTTTAAGTGAGAGGGAGAGGACAGATATTATGTGGATTATAGTATATAGTAAGAATTAAAATGTAGAAAACTACGTACGTTGAAGGAGGGAAGTGTCATGCAACATAACTATATATAATGACTCTATATATATATATTTTGTCTTCACGTATGCATGGAGGGTTGACATTCTGTTATTTTAGTTCATAAGAATCTTTCAAAGAATTTGTTCTATTTTTTTGAGTTAATTAATCTTATTCTTTCATGGATGTTGACGTCCAACCTAGCTTCAATTCATATATGATATGTCTTGCTAAATAAAGAATAATTTGCATGGAGATTAATTTAATCAATGCCCAAAAAAATATTATGATTATAGTCTAATATCAAATTTATTACTTTCAGGGTGCATAAATTCTATTCATGTACAATGTGTATCATCTACCAATGTAAATATAAATAATTACTGATCAATTAAACAACTCTGGATGGCATGGAATAGTGGAAAATTATGTACATAGCATTACAAACTTCAACTCTGTTAAAACAAAATGGATCATGAAATGCAGTATATATTGTTTCTTAAACTGAATCAATATATATATTGGACAAAGAATCATCCATGAACAATGATCAAAGTTGAAAGAGTTATATGAGAGACTCCTCTCATTGTTAATACCATGAACATGCTTGTAAGAGAAGAGGGACACCATTTGGTAATTCATTTAGAAGACTCTACATGCCAATTACTTTCCACCTAAACTAAGACTTTTTCTTCCCATCATATGTCCCTAATTTTCTGTCCCCATATATTTTGTTCTTATCTATTTCTGCTCATCATGATGCAATGTTTTCATATGACTTTGATTCAAAGTTCTGATTGACATAATTTATTTTTTTATTTTTTATTTTTAGCTTTTCTGCTACCTAAAGAATTAGTCCATTTTTTGTGGGACTAGTACTCACAAATTCAAGTCAAAGGCCTAGGACTAATCATGTCATGTGGAACAAAAAATCGACTTTACTAATTTTTGGTAAATGGATACCAACTCTCTCAAATATTCTTTACATGCACAGAATGAAAGCGACCCCTCTGACATTAGATCTCTTTGGCGGTCCGAATTTCAGGGTTGCTGGAACTTAGTCTTGAATCGAATGGTTGAATCTTCTTTAAGTATTTTTGTAGTCGAGGAAGATCAATGATTTTTGATTGAGGGTTGAACAAGATTGACCATGAATAGTATGCTTGATGATCAAAGTAATCTATTTTAAAAGTAATAAATAAGGAAAATGAATTTGAATTTACATACTTCTATTTCTTTTTCTTTTAAACTTTTAAAATTAATAACTAAATATAATGCGCATTCTTGATTGGACCACATCAACTGCCTACAGTATATATCCATGAAGAAGTAGATAAATACAATGGCGAATCCAAGGGAGCGCTTGGGTGGGCTTGAGCCTCCCCCCCCTCCCCACCAAAAAAAACATTTGTTTTTTAGTATAGGAATATTTAACCTAATGTTTTAAAAAAGAAAAAAATTAGTAGTAATATTAGCCCCCAATTTTAACCCATCCAAATAAGCCCAATATCTAAGCCACAATTTTAAAACAAAGGCCCAATCAAATAGGCCCAAGCCAAACAAGTTCTAAACAATCACTAAGCCAAAGCACAGATAACTCTTAAATTCCTAATCTTGCACAAATCTGAGAGCTCACTCCTTCTCTTCCCTTAAAGTTTAACCCTATTTCCTCTACAATTTTCAAACTCTTTAATCTTTCGATCCCTAATTCTTCCTTGTTTAATACTAGCCCCTCATTAACAATTCCTGAATTTGTCCTTCGATAAATATTGTCCTTATGATTTTGGAGGCAATAACCCAAGGTCAGCCCTTTTCCGGCTCCATCATGCATTTGGACATGGAAATTGAGAAACAGTGAACACACACCAGAATTTTGTACTCTATAATTATATGACTTTATTTGCAAATTTCAAGAAAATGCAGAAATTATTTATAAATATCATCAATATTTTTTTTTTTTTTTTTTTTTGAAAGGCAATTAAAAGTTGTGAATAAGTAGAAAGGCAAATAAGTCATGATGATTCACAAAGATTTCTTTCTTTAAAAAAAATCAAATTTTTTGTTACAATATGAATAGCATCCTAAGTGGATTGAAAAATAGAAAAGATTAAGCACCATAGATTGAGCTCTTGACATTAGCATCCGCACAAACTGCACCCCAAAATATGCCACTGGCCCAACGGACCTAAGGCCCATCTGTTTCCCCAGGAAATAAGGTGGATAGTTTGGTATTGGATTATTAGTGAATTGCTTGTGTACACAAACTCTATTGGAGAGAACTTAATATCTTTTATATCTTTTATTTTTTTCTCTGTTTACACTCAAGGTTTTATTTTTTATTTTTTATTTTATTTTTGAAAGGTTAAAAACAAACTCACACACCTTTATCGTGGCTTGAACAACCAACCACCCCTTTGGAGGGATGGGTTAAACTATTGCTCGATCATTTGATCACTCAAGTTGTTCATATATCTTTATCATAATTTCGGGGAGTGATTAAAGTGGTCAGATTTAGCACGTTATTATATTCCCATATGTAACAATGATTTAAGTGGTTCTAACACAATATAATTTAATATTATATTTCATATTTAAATGACTCTCGTATGTAAAATTTGATAATAAAATAGTTGTTTTTTTCATTTTTTTTTTTATTTTTTTTATTTTTTATTATTAACAGTGTTACACATAGCGATGGAAGATTAGCCGTGCTTTACACGTAGCTGGTCTCCCACTGTACCGTGTTAAAGTGAACATAGCTGGCTATTGTAATAGTAGGCGGCCTTAAAAAATACTGATACTAAATGTGAGTTTACAGTTGCTCACACTCGAGTTGCTTATGTATTGAGGTTCTCTATTGATCAAAGTTCGACGTCTTCTACCTGTGGTTTGTTATTCTTTGGGATGGCTTCCCTTTACTCCCATGATCTTCGTGATTATGGTGTGTATTGGCCTTGCGTTGTGAACTATAGCGGGCTGGCAACGTTTATGGTTATGGTGCTCCTTTATGGCTTTTGGAGCGTTGGTAATCTTTTGGTGAAGGGCCACACCAACTATCCTTTTGATCCTGGTATTGGTATGAGTTCCTTTGCTAACGGTCTCGTTTCACGTTTTCTCCAATTCCTTTTTGCATCGATTTCTTTGTTGGTTGTCTTTTGTCTATTGTTCCCTCTGACTCAGATGTTTGCTAGTGGAAATGACGACCAACCAGGAAGCTCTCTTAAAATCGGTGATCTAGACCTGTTTTTCTCTTTTAAGTGTTCTATTACCTTGGCGGGTTTGCTTTTTTCCTTTTGCAGCAGCTCCAGTCCGTTTGTTTCAGTTATGGACATACCTTATCATCGCAACTGTTCATCACTAAAATCCATGGTAGTGCTAGACGGTGCCAATTATGGTCTGTGGATGTACGTGTACCCAGGAAAATAATGGTCCGACGAAGCATCGAACTATCAGCGGTGTTTTGGTTGCTAGTCCGGGTCGAAGTTGTTTCTCTATTGTGAAGGCTTCAAAGTTTAGGGATTTGTCAGCGAAATTGATTATACCAACTTCTCGGTTGCCGGCAACTTTGGGTCCTTCCCGAAACCCACATCACTAATCGTCTGTTAGAATGAACCTCAAAAATCAAAAGTCATGATGGTTTTGCTCCATCAGCGTGGTGGGTACGTTACTTTGGGTATCTATATTAGAGTAGTAGGCCCTATAGGGTGTCTTATTTTGCCTCCACCAAACCACTTAGAAGGTACACATGCGATGGTTTATCTGGTGCCTATAGACTTTGTGGATATATATGGGCTTTGTTTTTAGTCAGACCTACTTTCTTGTCACTGTTGTGGGCAGTCTATATGTCTTGTCATCTAACCTCATGGTTGTTAGGCTTTCTATGTGTGTTGCCCAAGATGGGAAAGCAAGTTTGGATCTAGGTGAAAATTCTAGTGGATGTTGGGGTGTGCAGAACCAAATGGGCCTTTTTGGTTGTGGCTTAGCCCAATCAATGGTGGGTAAGTTAAATGGGACCGATGTTCAGTTCGGTGCAGTTTTAAGCCCATATTTGTGGCCTGCAATTATTCATTACCAGTTGACTATGGGTTTTATCTTTGGTTGGGCCATGGAATGCTTATGGGGTTGTAGGATTTTTGTATCCATAGCTTGTGGTGGCTTTGTTTGTTATCTGTCATATGCCTTTGTATGTAGTGTTGTTTTGTTTGGCTGTACTTTGTAGATGATGTATGGCAGTTTCTTATTACTAGGATAAAAAAAAAAAATTAATATGTATATTTCATATTTGAAGTGGCTCTCGTATTTAAATTTATTAATAAAAATAATAATATTTTTTTTCACCCAAATGTTGCACGTAAATATTTTTCTCATCTAACAATGTTACATGTAGCGATAGAAGATTAGCAATGCGTTACATGTAGTCGGTCTCCCAGGCAAATACAGTCGATCCGTTGCAACTGTCATAATAGCAACATGTAACGATCTTGAAAAATGATGATCCCAAGCGTGAGTTTACAATTGCTCACACTCGTTAATCATGCATCCTTATTATAACCTTAGAGATTTTGTTTTTGGAGTTATTAGTTTGATAAAATTTAATTATTAATTATTATTACTATTATTATTATTTATATAATATGACTATAGTCTTTGTATTGTATGGGTAAAGTATGTGATCATGTTATGACTATAGTTTGTAAAGTAATGCATGACTAAATCTGTCATTAGGTCATGTAAAAGACGGGAGTTTGTGGACAAATATAAAAAGGTAATATTTAATACAAGGCGGGAAAGAGTTATTCATAGATATTTGGAGTCTTAAACAACACATAAACATAATGTAGAAGTTAGTAGAATAGATACATAAAAAAATCTTTAAAGGAATATTTTATAAAACTTTTAAATTTGACAATGTTTAATACCAGTAGTGTGTGTGGAGGAAAAAACTTATTTATAGGGAGAAGTTCATTGTAATATTTCACAAAAGTTCTAAATTGGATTATGAAATAATATCTAAATAAAATATTTTAAATATATATTGAACATAATAATATAAATCATATTATTAACTTTCTATATTGGTTTTTTTTTTTCTCCTAAATTTTATATAGTTGAAAATTTAAAATAATAATTTTGACTTAGGCCGGTTTGTTAGGTTAAGGTTTAGCCCACTCCAAGCCCAAGGTTTTAATATGTAATTTATACTAAGCACAAATATCAAGAAACTCATCACATCTCAACTCGCAACATATTGCACAAAGTTTTCCAAAATTTTCAAAATCCTCAAATTGTTCAAAATTTTAATAACCTACTAATAAAAAAATTATGAAAAAATAAAAATGTTAAAAGTATATAAAACACCCATATTATATCACAAGTCTTTTAATTTTTACTTTGGGTGACTAAAACTTGTTTGACTTAATAGCATATAAAAAAAAAGAAGGTACTATTTTTGGAGCATTCTAATAGATGGAGTCTAATAAATACTACTTCTTATCAATAACTAAGATTTACACACTCTCCTTTGCTTCTATGAATGTTTGTCACGTCAGTTGGTAACAAATATGTTTAGAATTTAAAAAAAAAACTCAATATCTTACTTTCTTTATTATATTTTATTTTTTTAATAAAAATTTATTTTTTAAAATTTTAAAGCAAATGTGTCAAGGTTGGATTAATACCTATGATATTATAAATTATCTAATTTTAACTTTATTGATAAACAAATTATAACCTAAATTGCAATATACAGCCTCATACACCGCGGTAATATAGGAATGTAGGGGTGATTAATTTTTAGCACACATCCAATATGCACACCATTTGCAGATGCCTCGATAGTTCATTGGGTTAATACTTTATGTGAATTTTGGAGTGATAAGTTTCGGCTCTCTGCATCTACTAATATAACTTCTAACCTTTCTTATTTTCTAAAAATATATATATATGGGTTAAGTGCAAAAAATTCACTGATCTATAAGGTTTGTGCAAAACTAGTCCTTATTTTTTAAAAATGTGAATGTGAGTCCACAAAATTCAAAAAAGTGCAAATAAGCCCCTCTGATCACTTTTTGACAAAAATTAAGTATGAAAACCCTATTTTACACTTTTAATTCTTATTTTGCTCCTCACCCAAATGCGCATATTTCCTCGCCCCTCTCTTTCCTCCCTCTGTCTCTCTCTCTAGGGTTAGAAATTGGTTAAATTCTTATGATATATAGATATATATATATATATATATATATATATATATATATTTATTATGAGAACAATAATAAACACCAATAAACACCAACAAGAACAACACAACAAAGAACAACAAAATTAGAAACAATACATAGATTAAGAGCACAGACAATCAAACCAAAACCAAAACTAAAACACCCATATCAGATACTGATTCAAAGAGGCGAAATATCAAACACCCAGAAGAGATTACAACTTTTCTTCATCTGGTTCGTCTCAGATATCAACAATCCAATTGTGAAAATATGAGCCTTTTTGTGATGAAATTCAATTCAATTGCATTCCATTTCAAAATCATCTTGTTTGATTACCACTTTTCTTCATCTGGGTTCCTTTCATTTGATTTGGGACCTTTTTATTTATTTATCTGGGTTTGATTATGATTACAGACCCCAAACGAAAAGCTCTGTAACATACAACCAGAGAAAATTCAACGCTGGCGACCAGAGAGAGCTTCACAACAGCGACCAGAGAATGAATATTACGACAACGATGCAACAAGAGGCAGCAACAATGAGCATTTATTAGTGGCGCGACTGAATCGGCGAGCAAATAGGACTGAACCAGCAACTACTTTGGCAAAAACGATATGACGATGACTGTAAGGATGTCACGATTTCGGCGAAGGTACTGTGGTGGTGATGTTGATGATGGCTAGAGAAGATTTTGGCAGAGGCAGTGACAGAATATTCCTGGGACAACACTACAGGAGGCAGCAGTGATGAGGGTAGCGAACGACGAATACTTCGGCAGAACTCGTCGGAGAGAAATGATCTGTAATTTCGGTGAAGGTGAAGGCACGGTGGCGGCAAACAGTGGGTCTGGGGTTTGAATTGATGCTCCGATCAGTTTGTTGCAGAGGGTGATTGTGGTTGCACTAGGTGGTGATGGGTGGTGGTAATGGAAGTAGGGAAATGTTTGGTTTTAGTTTTAATTATATTTAGATTTAGGTAATCAATTTGAGATTTATTTGACAGAAGAGTCCTTTTACATGGCAGATATTTATAATCATTAATTTATTTACATCCCACAGGAATCTATTTGCATCAAATTAATAATATCTATTTGCATCAAATTAATAATATATGAGTGTTTTACCGTACAGGAACCATAATCTATTTGCATCAAATTAATAATATATGAGTTTTTTATCGTACAGTAACCAATATGCACTATATTAATAGTAGAGCGAAGTTTTTTGCACTTAACTCTCTCTCTCTATGTATATATATATATATATATATATATAGACACACACCATCTCTGATTCACAACTCATGTAGACATTTGCGCCTCAAAATTGTTAACCTAACTTTGTTGCACATATGGGAAGAATAATAGGTAAGGGAGAACATCTACTCTTGACACAGGAGTTCAAAGGGTTCTAAGCATGGAACTTCACGGAAAATGAAAAATAAAAAAAAAAATCTAACTTTTGGAATTCAATTCAAATTTCAGACCTTTGGTACAAGTATTATGCATAAAGCAATGCAATGCAATTCAAAGTGAACAGTGTGAATAGTCCAATAGCTTGACCGGATGTTCCAAATATAGATAATACTGTAACGTACTAATCTGAAGTAAAAAACAAAAAAAAAGATCAGCAAAGTTATTTCATTCAGAATTCCTTTTTGTGAAAATCAAATTGACATGTTTTTCAATCTCACTTTGATCCTTTAGCAATCAGAAAAGAAGCGAATGATGGTGGCTGAAGGAAACTCATTCTGCATTTAGGATTCGAGTCTGTAAATGAAAGAAGGTTGTTGTAAAGAGGAGAGAGACAGGGAGACAGAGGACTAGGTAAAAGCGCGTCCGAGTTCATGGGATGTGGGAGCCTTAACCACCACTCAAAAGAACCGCGAAAACTGACACATACGCCGGCGTTGCCAACAGTGCTCCCGCCGGTAACATCTGCCCTGGGCCCACCATACTCAATTTAAAAAATAAAAAATAAAAAATAAAAGATTAAGAAATTGGGTACAAAAAAAGAAAAAAGGAAAAAAAAAAAAAAAAAAAAAATAGAGCACGGTGTGTTGGGGGTGACCCGGGTGGGGACTCCGGTTGTGGGGGTCAGAGGGAACAAAATTGAGAGGGCGACACAGAGAAAGCTCTCAGCCCTCTTCCGGAGAAGATGGTCAAACAGAGTTGTCTCCTCTGAGATCATCCTGAAAAGGGCAGTCAAGAGAGAAATATCAAATTTTAATATTAATTATATTATTTTTCACAATTTTTTTTTCCTTCTCTTTTCTGCCTTTTGAGTCTCAACAATCTCTCCTACCTATGATTATCATCATCATCATTTGCACACTCAAAAGTTAACAACATCAGCAAATATATTATACCATTGACTGCCCTTTTGCCCTTTCTTTCTGGTAAATTTTCTCTCTCTTTGTTAACATTTCGTACCCTTTTGCTTTTTCTTAGATTGCTTGAGCATGAGAGTATTCTTTTATTCACTTTTGTTGATTCCTTTTTGTTGTGACTTGTGAATGACTCTTTTCTTGAAGCATCGACCACCTTCATATTGTTTATATGTTCATTTTTTTTTGTATGCTTTCCTAAAAAAATTGCTCTGATTGAGAGTTGCAGATAATTTGTGAGCTGGGTTATGCAGAAAAAGGAGTTGTTGTAACCTAAAACAAAAAAAACTGCAAGATGAGGGACCCCAATTCAGTCATTCGTATCAAAAGGGCTGGTGATTTTACTTTTATTTGTAATATAGTTTATGCCCAATACTGAATTTAATTACATACATCTGTATATTTATTTGTGTGCGCAAATAGAACAAGTTGTTGTTGTTGTTGCTTCATGATTTGTTAGGAGTCTGAGTAAATCTAGGAGTTTTTTTTTTTGGTAAAGTGAAGAAGAAAAAAAATCAAAATCTGGCTATTCTGTATAGAGTCCTGACAGTCAGGGGCCTCCACCACTGCGACAAATGGTTTATCGAGCAATGAGGGGTGGATGGAACTCTGTTGGAATCCAGTTATCATATGTTGCACTATTGATTCTTTTTCTGGAAATTCGAGGGTGTTGGTCTCTTAATTCAGAAGGTAATTTGTACTTCACATTATTGTTTATTGCTATTACGGTAATGAATTGAATTGTAGAACATTATCCTTTTTTGTTGATTGGGATTGAAATGGAAGTGCAGGATTGGCATTGTTAAAATTCCGGTCTGGGGTGGATTATGATCCATATGGTGCTTTTATGAATTGGAATTCTAATGATGACGACCCATGCATGTGGCCGGGTGTTTATTGTGTTGATGGTAAAGTGCAAATGCTGTAAGTCCCCCTTTTATGTTTCCTTCAGATTTTCCAGTTGCATTCATGTCATAATTTTAACTTCTTAGATGTGCCTCGATGTCTTTTTCATCAAATAGTGGGCACATGTCCTGAATTTTGTTTAATAAGCATCTTTATAAAAACAGCATTGTAATTCAAAGGTTTGGTTTCATCATATTGCACCGTTTGAGTGGGAATATGTTGTTTTTGTGTGTAGGGATCTCAAAGGGCTTTCTTTGGGAGGAGTAGTAGCTCCAGATCTTTGGAAGCTTACTCACTTAAGATCTCTGTAAGTATTGATTGCATCGCTGTTCTTTTGAGTTAAATTTGGTGTTCTTTTCACTCCCGCTGAACTACTTGATTTATGTGGTTACTGTTAATTTAAGAACCCACCATGTTGCTTAAAAATATAACATTGTCTTGAAGAGTTGCAATACACTCAAATATCATGTAATTTTGCTGATGAGCATTTCTTATAACAAATTTTATGGTATATTAATTCATATTGAAGCCATATTAAAACATAGATTAACTTTGGATGGTGGAATTGATCCATTCTGAGAGGAGAATGTGAAAAACAATAATAATGCTATGTTATGTTTTCTGCTTCATAAAATCATACCTGGTATAGACTTTACTATGTGAGAGTTATGATTTATGATCACTTTTCCAATGTACTATATGAAGAGTGCATGCGCTATAATTCTAAACTCAGGCCGGCCAATTGGACCTACTCTTCAAATTACCTACACGTTACATCTTTATGTCAACTATTTTTTATTTTATTTTATTATTTTTTTTTCCTAGTTGGTACTTACACTCACTTGTCTCTTCTAGACTTGAACCCCTGACCTCTCTTTGGAAAGTAAGAAGCTGATACCGCTAGGTCACTGGCCCGTTGGTATCAACTAATTTATCTATATTATACCGTGGTAACACATTTGCCTTTGTTTATTTTTGGACATAACTATAGCATGTGCGGTCAATTTTAACCTTTCCGAGTTAATTAATTTTTAGTTAATTTTTCTTTGTTGACTCCATATACTTTTTTTTTTTTTTTTTTTCATTTGATCTTCTGTCATTTGATATGAATCCCCATGATTCATTGATATGGCTAGGGTCTAGATCCGCTGTTCAATATGTATTCTGCTGAACTCATATTCTGAATCTAATAAAATTTTCTAATTCTGTCTTCTTCTTTTTTCTTTTTCTTTTTTTTTTTCTTTTTCTTTTTTTTTTTTTCTCTCTCTCTCTCTCTCTCTCCTGTTTTAGTGTACTTTACAAGAACCGGTTTTCTGGTGTCATTCCTAAAGGAATTGGAGGGCTTAGAAAGTTGGAGGTACTGGACCTGAGAGATAATAACATGAGTGGAACTATTCCAGCAGAAATTGGGGGTTTGCAGTCACTTAAACGCTTGTGAGTCTGTTGTTTATCGATGTTTGCAATTTTTGACGCTCTAGGCTGCAGCATCCATGTACTTTTGACGTAAATTTGTATTGTATTCCAGGTTGCTTTGTAAAAATAAATTTGAAGGGAGCATTCCTCTGGAGCTTGGGAGGCTGAATTTGCTCTCTGAAATGCAATTTGATAAAAACCTTGCGTCTGCTATGGCTGCTGGGACTGGCTGTGTAAATAGGAAATTTGGACACTGGTAAGATATTTCTCATTTGTTCGGATCTGTTGATATTCTGGTGATTTGCTACATTTTGTAAACCTCTCTCATGTCTACACCACCAACCGGCATATCATAATGAGATCAAAACTCTGATGTTGATTGGTCCACCTTGCAGGACATGCCACACTAGCTTCGTACTTGCTACCAAAACCTGTTACGAAAATGACATATTCAATACAGAAAAATTTTTCATTCACACACACATGTACAGGCACGGAGCCAAGAAGGGCCGAGTGGGGGCAGGCACCCCCACTGAATTTTTATTTATTTACACTACATTCCTAAAATTTTGCCAAAATCCTAAAGCCCCACTAAAGTTTCAACAAAAGCCCTTATACATGCCCCAAAATCCACCACAGTCATCTGTTCTCTCTCCCTCTTTAAACTTCACAATATGACAGACATATTTTTTAACATATTTAATCCATCCCCACTTTATCAACCCACCCAAAAAAATAAATTAAAGAACTAGTGTCCTAGTTCGCACTCTAAACCCCATCACAACTATGCAATATGACAGGCTTCTTGGATATGCGTTGTCCACAAATTTTCTAAGATTTCCTTTAATTACCATCTTGGTCTATCAAAAATCTAAGATTAATCATATTAAACTTGTTAGTTTCAAAATTTTATTTTTCTTTCTAAATTAGAAATTTTATGAGTATACATGGTTTTTGTTAAAATTCCTTCAATTTGAGTTGTTTTTGATATGTTAGCATGATAGTAATTGAAATTGAAGTAGTTACCGAAAAAAAAAAATTTGAAATGGAAATTTGAGCAATTTTTGAAGAAAATGTCTATTAAGTTAAAGTTCTTTTGTATATTGCCGTAGTTTGAAATTTTTTTATCTTATTATTGTTCCCCCCCCCCCCCCCCCCCCCCCCCCCCCCTCCCCCCCCTCAAATGAATTTTTTGGCTTCGTCATTGCACATATATAAACATTGCTATATAGTCATGTGAAAATATGTTTTTCAATATTTTGTCTGTGTGTTCATATGCTAGTAAACTTGCAAGTTTTTCATGGGATGAAAGCATTTCCAAAAGGAAAGGAATGTAATGGATCGGAAAACATGGTCTTATGGGCTTGGTTTTCTAACAATTATTGATAAGGAGATGTCCTTTGGCCTTGGTTCAATGGTAGTGTTGAGCTAGGGTCTTAGGTTCGAATCTTGCCCATATAAATAGCAACAAATAGGAGATCAGTTCTTACATGGTTGCAGGTTATTATGCAAGGAATAATGTTGGGTTACAATTTTTGTTATGACAAATGTCGCAAACCAAGAATCATGACATAAAAGTAAACATGTCACATACAAAGAACACAAAGATTTACGTGGTTTGGCAAAGCCTACTTCCACAGTGAAGATCTGGTGAAAGATTTCACTTTGCGAAAATTAGGAGATTGCAAGTTTCAGCCCAAACCCTAGCACGCTCTCTCTCTCTCTTGCGATTTTCAGTGTTCTCACATTACCCACTCCAAACCCTAACACCCTTATATACCGAGCTACATGAGAGTGCTAAACAGGGTCCAGAACTCGCAAGTGGAAAATGGGTTAAAAAAATTCAGTTTTTGGGTTGAAACTGGGTCGCAACGCAACCCGGGCCAAAACAAAATTTTGGGCCACAATATCACAATTTTCAAATTTTTTTTAATTTAAGAATTTTCAAGTACACTTCTTTGTTGAACAAATGGCATGTGAAATCAAACCTGAATGAAGTTTCGGAGAGAACCATAATGATTCAGCATGCCCCATGGATTGTATCCTTGTATGTCTTTCATTCTATGATTAAGATTAAGGTGAACAGATTTGGGCTTAGTGCTAGTCCTTGTACATCAGTCTGTAATTTGTGCATAGGCAATAATAGCAGTTTAACAAATTTCTTGTGGACTGAAAATATGATTTGGACAAAAAACTTAAGTCAGTTTGAGGTATTTGTTTCATGCCCCTATTGGAAATTCAGTTATTTGATCTATTCAACTTGCCATTGTCCATTGATGGTTCAATTGAGCCACCTAAATTGATAAGTCTGTCATATGTGGCATCATCGTGAAATTGTATTAATTATTTATGGCCATGGTTGTCACATGATTTTATTTGCTTATATTTTGAAACATATTTTGCTTTTGCTGTAAATATTTAGTTTTTTTTCCAACAATAAAGCAAGTAACCAGGAATGATAGTTTATCACCTAGTATTTCTACTCCTTTTGCAGTTTTCCCGTTCAACTGTATATTAGTTGTCTGCTTTACTGATCTTCTAATGCATTTTTGGGCAGTCTGAAGAAAGCATATTCCTATGTAATCCCAATCAAAAGGACACGTATACGTTACCTCAATGTGGTTCCATTGTATGGGATTGATATGTTTCTTTTACCCTATTAATTTTCCTTTCCGTTATGGATCATAATGTTTTCTTATTACATTTTATTTATGCAAAGTATTAATTCTTTCAAGGTTCAAGTTCAGAAAGGCCTCCTTCCGCCACATTACTATTCGCAGTGACTATCTAAAAAGTGAGTAAAATTAATAATACGAGTCTTGGCTCCTTGAGCATCAAAGTTTTAAGTTTTTGAGACTAATGAAATTGGTTCATGCATTCAGCAGATTCATCTGAGTTGCGTATGCTCCAGAATGTACACAACCTGTTTAATATTGTAAGGCGTAGACTACTTCAACAGTCCAGTAACATTGCCGCTGCCCCTGCAACTGCAAGTGGTGGCCCCCCTACCGAGCAGATCATTGCTCTTCCATCTACCCGAAGTAGTGGAGCTTTCCCAGCTGTACCAAATGGAAAGAAGGGACTTCCATCTGCACCTTCTCCTCCACTTACATCTAATCCTGATGGCGATTCTTCTGGTTCTGAAAAACAGCCTTCAGCTGGTGGAACTTCTAAAACATGGAAGTATGTAGCTGTGGTTTTCGGGGTGATTATCTTGCTCGTTGTTGCTGCAGCCATTTTTATCGTGTGTCGAAGTCAAGCAGCAGCCATACGTCCTTGGAGGACGGGACTGAGTGGACAGTTGCAAAAAGCATTTGTTACAGGTATATTACCTTATTTTATTCGGACTGTTCTGTTATGCGGTGTTTTGAATGTCAGATTGACTGGGCCGGTTGAACCAGTCAGTTGCACAGCCTGCACTTACCACTCAAAGATTTTAACCCTTTGCAGGGTAGTTATACACAAGTACGAGTCAGAGTAAGCCAGAATCTTGTATATGATTTTTACAAGATGCTGGACTTATCCAGTGTCAACTATAGGTGTTGAGTCTGACCTTAAAAGGTATTGTTTGAAGAATTTTTACATCATGGTTGCACATCCGCGGAAATCAAATGATGAGTTTGACATGAGATCTTGAGCTAGAAATCCATAAAGGAATAGATATATTGTAGAAAGTTGCAGCACTCTTATCATGATTGTCAAAAATTAAGTGTTGTTTCTTGAAATCCGTAAATGATTTAAATTATTAATTGTGTGATGGTTTCTCCTTTCTGCAATGGGGATGGATTTGTGCTTTTCAAATTCTCTGCAGTTTGATTAGACTTCTTTAATGCAATGCAGTATAAGGTTGAGCCATACAATTTCTCTGGTGTCTATATGTGCTCTTGAAATCAGCTGATTTTTAAGGCAACGTAGACTGACTTGTCAATTGAACTTTATATTGACTTGCCTCCTGGCTGGTTTAACGGTTAACCAAGTTTTTTACATTGGCTAGATGCCAATGTTATCATTCTTAGATAACGCTATGGGAAGTGGGAACTAAATCACTTGTTTAATTGAAAAATGCAGGGGTTCCTAAGCTGAACTGGGCAGAGCTAGAAACAGCCTGCGAGGATTTCAGCAACATTATCAGTACTCGTCAGGATTACACTATATACAAGGGAACACTATCAACTGGAGTTGAGATTAGTGTTGCATCAACTTCAGTTACTTCCATCAAAGACTGGGCAAAACGTTCACAAGTGGCCTACAGGAAGAAGGTTTGGTGTTTTGGCTGTCACTGGAGAATTTAGCATTACATGGACTACGAACTGTCTCACACAATACATGTCCTGGATCTTTTGGTCCCACTTTCTATTGAAAATTTCATTTAATTTTCTTGATTTTTGATTTCCTGTAGATTGATACACTGGCACGTGTGAACCATAAGAACTTTATTAATCTTATTGGCTACTGTGAGGAGGATGAACCCTTTGTTAGGATGATGGTGTTTGAGTATGCTCCAAATGGAACCCTTTCCGAGCATCTCCATGGTAATATGATTAGTGATATGTACCATTGATAGTGATGATTTGGAAGAAGTTGCAGGTTTGATTTTTGAAAGGTGAATCACAATTTATTTATTTATTTTCCCAGTGAAAGAAGTTGAACATCTTGACTGGAACACACGGATGAGAATTATTATGGGAATTGCTTACTGTCTTCAGTACATGCATGCCCTGAATCCTCCTGTGGCACATACGAACCTGACTTCAAATGCCATATACTTGACAGACGATTATGCTGCTAAAGTAGGCTCTACATACCATAGTTTGACAGGCTTCATATATTTTTCTGTTTCATAACATTTTTTTCTCTTATATTGCTTTGTTTTCTCAGATTGTGGAGATCTTTTTCTCAAAAAACACTGCAGCCAAGTCAAGGATTTCAGGGGAAAATGAATCGGGGCATTCTGAACTTCCACGACCTGCTGATCTAGAATCAAATGTTTATAACTTTGGATTATTGTTGCTTGAAATCATTTCTGGGAAGCCCCCTTACTCGGAAGAACAAGGGCCTCTTGTGGACTGGGTAAGCTTCAAAAGAAAATCTTCAACTCCCAGCACCCTTTGCTTTTTCGCGCTTTTTGGATAGACTGGTGTTGTATTTAAGTTCTGTTTAAACCAATTACTATGACATTGTCAGGCTGCTGAATACCTGAATGACACAAGGAGCATCGGCTACATGATTGATCCTACCCTGAAGTCATTCAAAGATGACGAACTTGACGTAATCTGTGAGGTGATCCAAGACTGTATTCAACCGGACGAAGGAAAGAGACCAACCATGAAGGAAATTATTTCCAAACTGAGGGAAGTAATTGCTATATCTCCTGATGCAGCGACTCCGAGGCTTTCTCCCCTCTGGTGGGCTGAACTCGAGATCCTATCCGCAGAGGCAACTTAAAGTTTACTCTCTGTTTCCCATGTTGTAAGTCTCTCTATTGGTTTGTATTAATATGAAAAATAATGCCTTTTTGTCCTTCCACTAAATTAAATACCATCACTACGTAGTATTTAACCATGTTCTTGTCTCTGTTTCTCTCCATCATGTTGTTGTGATGGTTCATTCTATTTAATTAATTTCCTATTCTTTGTTCACTCTATTCCACAATAAAATTGTTTCATTTACTGTGCGGCTTGCCTGCAATTTATACCTGATATAACTAATCTTGTGATCAAAACATGTTTTGTAAAAAAGATGTTTTTATTGTTGGTTGTACGTGGAATTCTGCTGCAAATGTGAAAATGTGAATGGAATTGAAAATGGGATTTTTATATCCTAGGCATATACCATTGCTTGGTTGCTTGCTCTAGGTTAGGCTTTCCTTTTGCTTCCCCTTCCAATTCTCCTCTCCTTCATTTATAAAAGAAGCACGAGGTAATGTAACCCTCATTCTCCTCTACTTAATTCCTGCAACCCAAACAAGGTGTTACATATAGTGAAGTCGGAAACAACCTATGATTCAACATGATAATTTTATGTTATGTTATGATCATGTTGAATAAGGCATTATGGTAGGAAGACTTTTTCTAGGAAGGATAAAAGACATGTGACGATATTATACATTATTCTCTTTATTTAGAAATTACTGTGCATAGTACTTATAATAGAAAGTACCAAAAGTACAAAACTACATGAAAACTAATCTGTGAAAGATCATATTACGAAATATCAATTCAATTGAAAGATATTTAGTTTTAGCCTCGATAGTAATAGGTTAATGTCAATTCAATTAAGTTAATGAAGATAGTAATAGGCCATTACTTAATGAAGATTTGGTTTGTCTAAATAATTATTGTACAATGTATTAAGTCAAATTTGGTGATATGTGGACTTTAGTATTTAATAAATGTGCCCTACTCTTGAGGAAATGGTATTATTTTTCCCAACTTCATAAATATGATTATTTATTATTTATTTTTTATTTTTATTAAAGGCAAGAATGTTAGGGGTTAATAGTTAATTGTTAGAGGAAAGGCAGAGGGTGCGAGAATGAACATGAGAAGCACCTCAGCCACTCGACAACAACACTTGCCATAAATATGAATATGAAAATAAGCTTTAGAAATATTTTCTTGGTTTTGCTTTAAAGGAAAAAAAATAAATTAGAGTGCATTCATCAAATAGTAAAATAACGCGGCAAAAAGAATTACATCATGCTATTGTGAAATCTAACAATGACCTCATAATCACACTAACATCAATTTTGCTTGCTTGATATTAATAATGGCAAAACTGTGTTAAATGAAGATCCTTCCTGTAAGGAGGGATTTTGTGGTGCATCGAGGTAGCAAACGACACTGATTTAGTACCGTTTGATTGAATCGGCGTGGAACTCACCACGCCGCGCCGTCGATTATGGCGCGGAACCAAGGAGGGATTTTGTGGTGCATCGAGGTAGCAAACAACACTGATTTAGTACCGTTTGATTGAATCGGCGTGGAACTCACCACGCCGCGCCGTCGATTATGGCGCGGAACCAACGTACCGCGCCGTCTATTGTGGCGGAATCAACTTACCATACTGTCCCTTATTGAAAACTACAGAGTAATTATTTTTAAAATTTAGTATATATGTACTTCAGAAGTACAATTTCTTTCCTTTTTTGTTTTTTGATTTTGTGTTTATTTTTGTTTTTTTTGGTTGGATATATGTTCTTTTAGCAAATTGTCTAATCTTTACTCAAACTTTTTATTAGAATCACAAATGAATATACCAGATAAGACTCCATAGGTATTTTCCTTTGATTGAAGAAAATATATGTAAGAAATTCTCAAATATATATTTGTAGGGCCTCTACTATTCAAATGGAGAGGTTAAGGGTTCCACCGGAGACAATAGAGTATGTGTTTACTTTAAGAGTGACAAATTGATGGACAAATGGATGGATTGAATCGGATTTGAATTGAGTTGAAAATGAACGGGTTAAACATGAGTCAAGACTCATATTTAACTTTTTTTTAAATAAAAAAACCTTGTACTCTATTAACACATTCATTTCAATCCAAAAATGGAACTTGGAATTATATCCTGATTCAGTGGTCTCCAAGCAATTAATAATAAAAAATTGCAAAGTCATTAATTCTCTTCCTTTAGATGAAATAAACCGTCCTTATCTTTTTTATTATTTTACACAAAGTGATTATTTTATACATTTAAACATATCTTTTAAACAAATTATTAATATTATTTATTAAAAATGATACTGTTAAAAATAATCACCTTTATTTGTATGATAAAGCTACAAATTAAAAAAAAAATTAATATATATATATATATATATATCTTGAGCATATGGTTAGTATGTCATAAATACGAAAAATAGGTTAAAAAAATTTAAAAAAAATAGGAAAAATTCAGAGCAAGAGAGATCTGGGTAACATGATAGTCGTGACTAAGCTATATGATGCTGGGAATACAGATGTGGGACCAAGGTGATGTTGCGAAGCATTAACAGCCTGGGAATCTTCCACGTGGGTTCCACCGACTCTCTCCTCTCTCGACACGTTCACAACATATCACCTGGTCCTCTCCACGACCATCTCTTCCAAACAGTCAAATGTTGAGAGAGAAAACATATACATATAGAGAGAGAAACACACACAGCACACCCCGCCCACTTTCAAACGAAGGGGTGGTTAATTGCTGCGCGTAAGCCATGCAGAAGCCACGCATTTCCCAAACTCGCCACCCACTTGCAGCCTTGCAGCGTGGCTTATAATTAAACCTCCATCTGGTCACACCCACCTCCTCCTTCATATACATATACTCATATACATATACATACACCACATATATTGCACAACATTTTTCTATATATATATATATATATATATATATATATATATGTGATGCTCCCAACCTAAATTTCACTTGCACCACACTATTCTCTCTCTCTTAAGCTATACCCTCTCTCTCTCAAATGAAAACCAAAGTTGAGGAGACTTTCTCTGCGTTTTTTGAGAAGTGGATTTGCCAACTTGAAGATTATCTACTTCTTCTTCTCAATGTCTCAACAACAGAGACTTCACGTGACTCAGACTATGAAGCCCTAGTGGGTAAACTCACAGCTCATCACAAGAGCTACTACACTGTCAAATGGGCCGAGGCCCAAAAAGACGTCTTGGCCTTCTTCTCTCCGGTGTGGTTAACGCCTTTGGAGACCGCTTCTCTCTGGGTCACGGGTTGGAAGCCGTCGATGGCTTTTCGACTCTTTGACTCACTGATTCGGACCGGCGTTTTCGGGGTGAGTCTGACCGGGGTGTCGGAGGAGCAAGTGAAGAAGATCGAGGAGCTGAGGGCGGAAACTCGGATGGACGAAGGGAAGGTGGAGAGCGAGCTGGAGAGGCAGCAGATGGCGTTGGCGGACCGCCGGATCGAGGAGTTGGCTCGGCTGGTGGTCCGCCTCAAGAAGACTGACTCGGTGGTGAGTCAGGTCGACAAGTTCGTGGAGATGGTGGTGAAGAGCTTGAAGGGCGGGTCGGAGAGGGTGATGAAAATGGCGGATTGTGTGAGGCTGAAGACACTGAAGGGGATCTTGGACGTGTTGAAACCGAGACAGCGTGTGGTGTTCTTGGCTGTGACGGCAATGGTTTTGGTGCAGCTGAGAAAACGCGGGAAGGAGAAGGAGAATGTTCGCCATGTGAGTCTGATGAACGATTGTGCAACACAGTAAGAGTAGTTGGTCTGCTGGTGTGGTTTGTGTTTTTGTCATAGGTTTTAATTACGGGGAAGAAGGAAAAATGAGAGTCAAAAGAGAGTGTTTGCTTTATTGCTTAGACTTTTGTTGGAGAAAGTTTGTACTTGGAATAAAGAGTTTGAATTATTAATAAATGTCCTTCCACACTCTCTGTACCTATTTCAATCTATATCTATAGATCTATGTATATGCATAAACGTATATATATATATATATATATATATATATATATATATGTACTTTGCATGCGCATACACGTGTATATGGTGTGAGGGGTATGATAGTTTGTATTTGTCTTCCATGCAGGACTAGTGGAAGCTATAACTGTCTCATGAATTTTATGTAAATTTGCCAACTCGATCAATTGAACGGTCAATTCTAATTCAACCGGGACTATGGACAGTCCACATTCCGGTTGAATCCGACTTTGGATTAAGGAGACCCTTTTGACCTGAACGATGAGTGGGGTCATACAGACTCGAACATAGTTAATCATACTTAGTACCAGTCTTATTTAGTCTTATTTTATAAAGAATAAAAAAAAAGGCTATATAATGAATGATTTTCGTGATACATATTGACGGATCTAGCTATGTGATTCGTTTAAAATTAACCTCCATCTAGACCTACCAGGGAACGTCATTAAGTTCAGTTATCCATCCAAGGTAATATACGCACCCTAATCGTGATCATGAGACTCAAACTCATATCACGGTACCATAATGATATATATAAATCTTTCCTAGTATAGAAAAGTAAAACAAACATCCGTTATGTCGTTCAACTGTTTTAGTTGACAGGACATACATCCATGTAGGATTCAACTGTTTTAGTTAATCCATTCCGTATGTATGAAGAGGTAGGACTTAACCTTTTGATCTAATCCATCTCCGATTTGTTACCGTCCCATACCGGTGCATATAATGCATATGATCCATAAATGATGCACACTCAAATGAACATCAAGTAAATCCAGAAACCAACATAATAGAAATCAGACATAGATACGATCCTATCATGCATCCAGTATATGATAATACTCATAGAACCTCCGTTTAAATTGCTAAGTAATAATACACAATTCAAGCTATCTATATCCGCATAATTGACGGAACAGAAATTTAAAACAGTTCATCAATTAACATCCATAGCATGTAACATGATTATCAGAATTTAAAACCTGAGCACATTATGCTAGAATTCCCAAACAATCCTTTTCCATACTAGTTCATTTAAGTTACTAAAACAAAGATTAGTAATTAAATTCTCTTCAATCCTGGGTGGCATATAAATTAATATTTAAATCCAATGATGTTCATCCAGTCCCAATTACAAAATTGGTGCATGGTATAATGACACTCAGAAATCTAACCTGCACATCATATAAAATCCCAACAATGTTTTATATTAATCCATTTATATCGATTAAAACACGACCCGCAAGTAAAACCTCCTTAACTCTT